TTCTATCTCAAACATTCATACATTTTCCAATATAATAAAAGATTCAAGTTCTAGATAACTTTCAACCCTAATTGAGTACTAGCGCAAGTACAATCACAAAAGTCAAAAACTAGACATCACCAGCCTGTACCAGCCTCACGCCTATGCTCGTACCCCCTGTAAGGAAAATAAAACTAATAGGGTGAGCCAAAACTCAGTGAGATTCCAAAACATCATGCAAACCCAAGTAGCAAGTTAACCATTGTATAAAATTTGAAATATCAAAGTAGTGAGCATAAAAGTTTATAAAAGTGAGCAATAACACTTCAAGTAGCAAATTAGATAAATATCCAACATTTTCAAGTATAAGGATACAGTCGCTTTTGCGAGCTAACTCGGCCGTAGCTTGCCAGGAAGTAGTTGACACTCCATCAACTTTCAAAATAATGTAACCAGTCCAGTAGAGCACCACTTAACTCCAATCTCCATTCACCATCCACCCCCTACCGGGCCTGAATTCCAATATAAACAGTGGTGGTAATACTCGAGCATACCAATTAGTCAAGAAGATAACACTCTACTCGACAGAACAGGAGACCCAGGGTTCGTTATCTAATCGACCAAGTTCTTGCCGGCTCGATTCGATTAACTAGTCACAGGGTTTTTGGAATTCCAGACAGTATTCAAATCATATACATGTATATTAAGTCAATTGTAACCAATGCATAGTAATAAGTCACATTAGGGCAAGTGCAATAAAGTACACCCTTGCCCGACCAAACAAGTCAAGTATTATTCAATCGCATTAGCAAATCATTTCATTCAAGGATCAAGTTCAATCATACACTGGAAAACACTCACCAATGATTTATTACTTTCTAAATCCAAGCTCAGGTTCAACTCCCTGGTTGGAGCCCAAATCTGCAGTAAAATACCGTTTAACAGTTTGCAATCAATTAGGGTTTCAAAATATAGGAGTTTCGCTTAAAGAAAATCAAGTAGAACTCATTTAAGTAGTACTCATTTTACTTATTAAACCGTAGAAAATTCATGCTCGTTCTTTTGGTTTCGATAAAGAAGTGGTTAAAACTTTTAAGTTCCCAACTTGGTATAAGAAACTAGGAAATCTTGTTTAAAGTGGTTGTTACTTTGTCTTTGAAAAATATACACTTTTGAGCAAAATTTTAGCTTATAAGTCACGCACAAGGTCAACCTAAGCATCCCTACATAACTAAGTCCCGAATCGAGTACAAGTCACATCCTTATTTCCGCTTTCACTCACTTATCCCACGAGAGGAAAATTGGCCAGCATTTTCTTTGTGTTTACCTAATTTTTCAGCCATTTCAAGGCTACATTTTATCCCAAATCAGCCCCAAATCACCACCACAAGTAATAAGATAAAAGCAGCTCTTAATCTAGGCCATAAACCTTCCAATTAAAGTTCACTTCTAGCATATATACATCACAATATCAAAACTGAAAAATCTCTAATAAAGCTGGAATTTCCTATTTAAAAGCTAAAAAGTCACAATAAGACCACCAATCATCACACAAGTCCACAATCAAGTTCAATACCAACATATGATGGATAAACAACATAAATCAAGGCTGAAAATCATAAACCCTAGGCTGATTTTTCACTAATCTTCACCAAATCTAGATTATCATCCATAAAATTTCAAGTTTCAAGTCATCTTCACCATATTTTACAAGAATAAGAAAGAGAAAGGAAGTTATTCATCTTATACCTTCACCCCTTGAAGAAAATGAAGAAACCAAGGCTTCCTCTCCAAAAACTCTCCGCTACAAGCTTCCTTGCTTCCTTGGTGCGAATTTGTTCGGTTTGGTTTTGTGATTCTAACTTAAACAAGGCAAGAATCAAGATGGAAATGGAAGTTTTTCTCCTCTCTTTTCTCTCCTAGTGGTTCGGCCATGACAAGAAGAAATGGAGGAAAATTGGCCAAACGAAAGATAAGAAGGAAAGAAAGTTACTTTGGTCAAACTTGTCTTGGATTGCCAACACTTGGCAACCAAGTTTTTTTTCCTTTCTTTCCTTTTCTTAGTCTACAATTTCAGCCAGATTTAGGGTTAGATTAAGGGAGGATTAAATGAAATAAAATCAAGGAGATTAGGATAAGAAAGTATTGGTCAAGTGGGGTACTAAACCGATAACAAATGGCGCACGTTGGTTCAACCCTACTTTCTTAACTCTCTTGTACTTTTGTTTTAACTTATGATTCATTAACTTATTTTTAGCACTTCTAATCACATATTTTCTCTTACTTAATACCCACTCTTATCCACCAAATTTAGTACACGCACCTCACTAAGTGATCACACTACCAAAATGCACAAAAAACCCTAACTTATGCCATTCCTTTAGAAAAATCATAACTTAAATTATAAATGTCAAAAATTCATACAACTTGACCTGTTAAAAGCTAGACTTGAAACACTAATAATCTTTAGAAAACACCTCAAAGAGATTCAGTTCATAAGTTAGTCCAAATTGAGTTGTAAGCTACTATAACATTCCTATTTTTACTTGTGCAGGGCAGAATTTTCAGTCAACTTTGCCAATTTTTTGGTATTTATAGAAATTGAGTCAAACTCTGAATTTTATACCGTAGGAAACCCTATGAATCTAGTTTCAAACGCAACAATCAAAACTCAATTTCAACTTTCCTATACGAAATTATAGCCAATTTTCCAAAGCTGCGCAGAGCCTCCTGCGAAAATTTTCAGATTTTCTAACAACTTGAGAAAATGAAACTTTTCTTAACAAAATTCACTCCCTTGGCTCAAATTCAACATACATATGAAGATTAAGGTTTAACAAAGTATCTTAAAAAAAAACCTTGACAAAATCACCATAAAATGACTAATATTTCCACATAGAAGTATAGATCAAACTCACCATAAATCTATCCATCAAGCTACTAAGGTTTTCATGAAATGTACCTAATCCTTCTTCTTTATCATATGAAGAGACATCTAGCATGATTCTTAACCAAGAAATCCACCAAATTTATCGTGCATATCTTACTTGTCGGTTACACCGATACCGTGCACTATGAAACTTAACATGCATCCAATTAAGTATGCACCAAGTTGAATAATATAATGGAAGAAAAATTATGATTGAACCATTAAAGCAACCAAGAATTTAAGGCAAGTAAGTTCAAATAAGAACTATAAAGACAAGTAAAATTTCGAAACCTCACAATATTCTGTTACATATATGATTTCTTATACTCTATCAAATACTCATCATACTGAACACTTTTCAAATACTAAGTTCATAGATCTCCCTAAATTATTTTCTGAAGTAGGAAAAATATTCTCTAGAAATTACTAATACAGATTAAATGAAAATTTCCATTTAGATATAAGTCAAAAACCCCTATTAGACAAGTCAAATACATTGTTACCCAAATTATTATATACAGGAAATATGGTTATAAGTAGTTCTCACCATTTTCCAAATATGAATACTAATAAAAAAAATAACGACAAATTATAGCATAGAAGCTAGATACTGCAATGGAAAAAATATGACAAACTGGAATGTTTTAATAGATACAGAAGTTAATGAAAATTATATATCTCACAAATTGGTTGAGCACTTTCCCATTTTTCAATTACAAGATCCTTATCAAAACACAAATTTTAATGGAGAAACTCACGAAATAAAGGAGACTATGGAAACAGAAATTAAATTAACCGGTAATCAAATTCCTATTCAACTTTTAGTTGAAAATAAAGGATTTAATGATACTCTTGAAATAATATTGGGAACAAACCTTTAGATTCAGTATCACTATATTGCATAACTACTAGTGAAATAGTCATTACCCATAACGATAAAAAAATTATATGTTGAAAGAAAATAATGAGTCAATATAGTATTTATATACCTATAAGAATGACCTATAAAGACTATAAAGTTGAATACTTTGCAGCCTATATTGATAGTGGATCAGGAACATGTTTATGTAAACTTACATATTTTCCACCACAATATCATGAAACCTTATCTGATCGAACAGGTATTGATATTTTTAATAACCTTATTACTTTAAATTCTGGAATAGCTAAATCTCAAATATTGCTTGGTTCATTCCTTGTTAAATGTCCTCCATTTTACTTCTTTAATACAGGATTAGATATACTCTTAGGAAATAATTTTCTTCAATTATTTCATAAAGTTTTATTTGATACTTTACAATCTCAAATATATTTTAAAATTTCTTGTAGCCATTGGATCGTAGTTTTTCGTCTTAAACATGCTTATACCCATAAAATTTTTATAACCTTTCATCCTCGCGTAGGTCAACATGGTGATATTGAATATTCAAAAAAATCAAAAATACCAAAAGGAAGTCCTATGTTAAAATTTGAAAGACAATTACATTTAAAACAACTACAATTAAAAACCATATCTACTACCCCAGAAAACATAAAAGAAAAGTTACGATTAAGTTATACAGAAAATCCTCTAAAGTTTTGGGATAAAAACCAATATTATATTGAAATAAAATTCAAAGATGAAAATAAAATATTTGGAGTTAAACCCATGAGGTATAATCCTATTGATCAAGATGAATTCAAAAAATAAATTAAAGAATTTCTAGAAATACATTTAATAAGAGAAAGTAATTCTTCTCATTCCTTTCCAGCATTTATGGTAAGAAACCGTGCTGAGATAATAAGAAATAAGTCTAGAATGGTTGTTTCCCGCCTACGGAGGGCGGTCTGGGGTTTCGCTCTTTTGCTGATGTTTGTAAGGCATTTGCATGCAAGCTCTGGTGGCGCTTACGATTAAACAATTCAGTTTGGTCGTCATTTATGCATGCCAAGTACATCAAGGGTGTGCATCCATCTCAAGCTATGGTCCCTAGACCACCAGCCTCCTGGCGTCGTATCCGTTGGTGCTGAGAGTCATATCCGTTGGTGCTCGGGGAAGGGTTTCGTCAATTTCTGGTACGATAGATGGCTAGGGGATACGCCACTAGCCGCTATGCTAGAGGTGGATAACCCTCCACATATGCTGGTGGCAGAATTTTTTTCGAACACGGGTTGGAATAGTGGTAAGCTCAAGCAATGGATCCCGGATTACTTGGTTGTGCAGATTTGCCAGCGGCAGCTGTTTCCCGAGCTTGCTAATGAAATGGTTTGGATCCCCTCGACTTCTGGGCATTTTTCTGTTAAATCGGCCTGGGAGGGTCTTCGGCAAAGGAAAGGTTCCTCAATGCTATTTCGCCTCCTCTGGAATGATATTCTTCCACTCAAGGTCTCCTTTTTTGCCTGGAGGGTTTTATGCAATGGCTACCTCTGGATGTAATGCTGCGGAATAAGGGGGTTGTGCTAGTGTCTCGTTGCCTTTGTTGCCACCAGGAGGAGGAGTCACTCAACCACCTGTTTCTCAAGGGGCCAGTTGCTTCAAGAGTGTGGGAGCACTTTGGACGACGGTTTGGCATATTGGATGTGGTGCGTTACTCACTAGCGTCGGTATGGATGTCATGGTTTGATTCAGTATCACCAGGCCAGGTGGACCATATTCGTACGGTCGTGCCGACTCTGATATTATGGTCTTTATGGAAGCTAAGAAATCATGCTAGGTTCGAAAATCTAGCCTTCAGTGCTCAACAGGTCATTGTCATGGTTAATGTGTTTGTTGATCAATTGGGGGCTGCTAGGATCCTTAATGCCACGCACTTTAGAGGGGATGGAAACAACCCGTGGGCTGCTTGGGTTGGTAGGCAAGCAAGACGGGTTGAATGTCGGACTGTTTCCTGGCAGAGACCCTCTCCGCACTACTATAAACTCAACACAGATGCCAGTGTTTACCAGGGGCGTGCGTTGGGAGGAGGTCTCCTTCGCAATATGGATGGGAACCTGGTTTTCGCCTTTTATAAGGAATTTGGGGAGTCAGATGTTCTAATGGCTGAAAGTCTGTCACTAATGCATGATCTCCTGTTATGCTCGGAGAGACAGGCCCAAAACTTGTTGGTGGAGGTTGACTCAGAGACTCTTGTTCGTTTACTCCTATCAAGGATGGTAGGCAGGTGGCCTCTCTGCAATGTTCTCAGAAGAATACATGGACTGCTTTTCGATTCCTCTTCTTCAATAAGGCACGTGTATAGGGAGATTAATGGTACAACAGACAGCCTAGCAGGTCTACGGCTGCCGCAGGATACTTTCTTCCCCTCCTACCTGCACCTCCCTCTGTCGGTTAGAACATCTCTACTTCTAGATAGCAGGAGTTTCCCACACGTTCGTCTGTGCGCGAGTCTGTAACTTTCTTCAGTTATAATATAAATAAGGGACTGGCACCCCCTCCCATGACACTTGGGATCCTCGGTGACATGAATCCAATGCCACCTATAGTATTGCGCCACTTGGCCTATTATTATTTACACTTTAATTTTTTAATAATTCAACTTGGTTTGGTTTAACACAATTTTTATCTACCCTCTAAAACTTTGAACCAAATTAACCAACCGGTCTAATTCCATTACCAATATTTTTGTACAGCAACCACTCAAGATCGGTTGCTTTGGGAAAAAGAAAAAGATAACCCTAAACAATTGCCTCCAAAGTCCAAGCCTTTTTATCGTTGATTGCTTAGAACAATCAACCGTAGCCTAATAAGCTAAAACTGCAGCCGCCGACTATTGAAGCAAATTGACTACAAAGATTCAGGAAGTACTCAAATTAAAGCCCAACCATCCCTAGCTTTCTCCAGCAAAGAACAAACCAAAACGTTTCACATCATTCAGGTAATTATCCAACCTTGCATCCGGTTTAAGTCTTGAGTTTTTTCAGCTTTGATTTATTAAATCAATATCACTATTTGCTCCATGATCTTGATTTCGAATTTCAATTTTTTTAATATTAAGAAAGTTAGGAAATAGACAACAACTCGTAAGTATTTTCACAACTCATAAGCAATATCACCCTACCTTATGTTATGCAATTTTATATCTTCATTTTCAATTTCCATTAAAGTGAAATTTACATTGAATTGTGAGTTTGGAAAGATTAAATATTAATTGAGTGGTCAAATTGACTACTTACACGCTAATTGTAATATACCTGGAAAATAAGTTACTTTGTGGGATTAAAAAATTATTTATTATTTCAAGAATTGTTATAAATTTTACTAATGTACCAAATTAAAAAAAAGATACAAGAAGTAACAATAGCTTTTCTGACTCGTTGCAAGTAGTAGTAGTGAACAAGTAGAATTGGAAATTCAACTATTTTAATAAATTATTGAGGGAAAAAATTTGCTTACATTTTTTCCTTATTGTATTGCAATTAACTTGCATGAAATTCTTTTGTTAATTTAGGGTTAATTCAGTCAGGTTTCAGTAAGAAGACTTGTTGAGATTCAAAATAGTAAAATACATCTAGACCTGGTTCTTCCTTTGACCCTATTCTTTGGCGGTGTTTGAGGTTTTAGTCCTTACCATGGGATTAATTTTTTCACCAAATTTAAAACCCGTGGTTCCTTAATCATGCAAGCTGTGTGTGGAATCATTCTACCTGCCTAGGACGAGTTATTTGATGATTCAATTCAACTTTAGCAATTTTCTTATGTTATCAGCTAATTGTTATTGTTCACTCCTCGGAACAGGTCAGGTTGGTGCTATTCAATTGGGCATCAGCCGGGCAATGCAAAACTGGGCACCAGATTTACGTCCTCGTTTGAGAGAAGGTACATTTCCTTGGAGTAATGTTATCTTTATTAATTGGTCAAGGTAAATTATTACAGTTGTGATCATGAATAATTACTTCTTTAAGAAAAGATTGTTTATTGTCTTTTTTTATTCATCCATTTATTTATGTGTTCAATTTTTTGGTGATATAATTCTAACCATAGGCACAAGAATTACATGATTTCGAAGGAGCGAAAAAAAATCAGTTCGAGTTGAATGACAACTCTTGCACTATGGGACAAGAAGTTGGAGTTGATTGCAATGATAGGTGTGGTTGTCCAGTTCCATGCATCAATGATATTTCGTGCAAGTGTTCAAGTGGACAAGAGACCTGAAAATTTGACAGAAATTGACAATGGAACTTTTCGTGCTTCCCAAAATTAATGCACATTCTTCTATGTAGAATATATGTTTCAATTGACACTAGTACTGAGTTTTTAGATCTTTCATTTGAACACTTTGTTACCATTCCAAAATTCAATAAGACATTTGGATACTGTCGAATGTGAAGAGGCTTGGAAACCATAGTATCATCGACTATCGCCCCTCTTGACATAAGTTTATATTTTCAATTCTGATAATGGACACAACACAAGCATAATAATCCCTGTAAAACATTAATTATTTAGCATGAACTTCAATTTAACTGAAACAAAAGCTGACATTGTTCATTTTGCATGCAAATAGCGAATATGGAGTGCATACAGTAAACAAAGGGATAAAACTTCACGCCGAGAAAATGCAGTCTACTCTTACATATCTTGTGTCATAAAACGTAATTGACTTAGATGCTATGCTCTGACAAAGAACCAACAGGACAAAGTTCTTGCTGCAATTTCCCTGCTGCTCATGTTTCTGCTTCATAAAGTCCAGAAAGAGTAAATCAAAGGAGAAGGAGCAGAAGGAAGACTGACACTTCTCCATCGTTTCCTCTGTTTCATATTACTTTGAGGCAGCTTTGCTATCTAGATTTGGGAACTGATCTTTTGTGCTTGGATTGATTTTTTATCAGAGAGTTAGAGAAATAGGTTTTGCAAGACATAATAAGAGCAAGTTAATTGCATTCGAAAAGAAACATATGTCTAGAAAATGAAGACCATACAGCATACAGCATTTAAAAATGTTGGCAAACCAACTTTCTGACTTTTTCCCAAACTCCAGAATCAACAGGTCTATTTGCAGAATGGTGAAGGTACACAGTTCACAAACTATTAAGTTGTCTCAAAGATCTATGCAAGAACTGAATATAATTCATGTGAAAGAACAAATAAAAAATCTTAGAAATTACAGATAGGTCATCAAAGCTATCATCAATTAAGGGCAAGAAGTCATCTATTATTCACATATCATGTTCCTGCTTCATAGATCTTGAAAGCTGTCCAAAATAAAAATCGACGGGGCCTAAAATGATTTAAAGAACAAAAGATAACACAAACACAACTCACTTAAGATATTGAAGAGTCATATTCTTCAAAAGAGAAGGATGTCTTGGAACAAGGCTACGCCACTCTTCTTTGTCAATCTTTCCATCATGCTTGGTATCAGCTTCCTCAAAGGTCTGAAATCAGAAAATGGATTAATATATTAGCTTCTTGCTCCAAAAAAGTGTTCCAAATAACTTCTAAGAATTTCCTGGAAGCGGATGCATAAAGGGTAAATGCTTGTCTTATCAAGAACATAAGGCATGAGTTACTGCAATCGTTAACAGAGCATCATGAACCAATTCCCTATAGAAACAACTATAGATAATAACAATTTTTCTGCATTGCAAAATATCAAAACTTTGCTGTTATATTTTCTAAACTATTCCAGCAAGTGTTGCGACTACCATTTGTTTTACCTACAGTGAGATCACCAAAAGTCAAGTTCCTTCCAGCAAGGCAAAGACCACAGAAGAAAAATGAAAGGGTGAAAAACAAAGGATTCCACAATGTTTAGAATACGTCAAGGAAAACTTTGAGATTCATGCAACAACCACCTCTGAATTATGAAAAGTAAACCAAAGACATTAAGGTTAATTACAAATAGATTAAACAAAGACATCACAAACTTAACATCACCATTCAACTAATTCTAGTCATGGATTTAACTAGGATCATTCTATACGTTGCAACAGAAAGGGTGTTACAATTGATAAAAAAGAACCTTGAGCTCAATTTTCTGCTTAGTCCCCTCGGGAGGCTTCTTAAGCTCGCCTTCCACGTACACGGACGTGCCGGTGGGCACCAAATCGCCGAGCTTGTGCACGCCGGACTCCATTATGACCTGCAGATTCACCGGACAAGAGCCGTCGTTGAGTTCCAGAAACGCGAAGGCACCTTTCCCCTGTTCTCGGCCAGTTTTCACCCATCGTCCGATTTTCACAACTTGACCTGCTACTCCCGCCCCGCCATCGGGCAGGCTTAGAATAGAGTGGATCAGGACCCGGCGGGAAAAATGGCCTCCTCGACGGTGCCGCTTAGCGAGAGCTGTTCTAATGGCGAATCGATCGACATTACGTGCTTTGATGAAGAAATGTGAATATTTTTGTTACGTTTTGATGGTGTGGGTAAGGAGACAGAGAAATGATGGAGTAGCGCTAGTTTTCTGCCAGTGGAGAGCTCGAAAGAGAAGGGCTTGTTAAGGACGTCCTTGGTGCCTTTGACGGTGAGGCAATCGGCAGTGAAGATGATGCCACGTGGAATGGCGGAGCCGGTGGTGGAAATAAAGGACGACGACTCTGAAGATGTGGACCTTATCAGACTGGATTGGAGATGTTGAAGGTAATCAATGATGAAAGTATCGGTAATGGAATTAGACCGGTTGGTTAATTTGGTTCAAAGTTTTAGAGGGTAGATAAAAATTGTGTTAAACCAAATCAAGTTAAATTATTAAAAAATTAAAGTATAAATAATAATAGGCCAAGTGGCACAATACTATAGGTGGCATTGGATTGGCATTGGATTCATGTCACCGAGGATCCCAAGTGCTCCCATGATCGGGGTTTTGGCCAAAAAAAAATTTCTAGAATGGTTGTTAATTATAAATAATTAAATAATGAAACCATATTTGATGGATATAATGAAACCATATTTGATGGATACTTTTTACCACATAAAGAAACTCTCATAAATATGAGTAAAAGAAAGAAAATATATTCTAAGTTTGATTGTAAAAGTGGCTTTTAGTAAATAAAAATGCATCCTGATAGTATTAAATACACAATATTTAGTACTCCTCAAGGAGAATATAAATGACTAGTTATGCCGTTTGGATTAAAAAATATTCCTCAAATATATTTAAAAAAATGGATTAAATCTTCAAAGATTATCCTTTCTTATATGTATATATTGATAATATCTTAATAGCATTAGATTCAATAGAAAAATATTTAGAGCATTTAAATATATTCTCTAATTTATGTCTAAAACATGAAATTGGATTATCAGAAAAGAAAGCAAAAATAGGATAATAGAAATTGAATTTTTAAGTGTAGAAATAAATGGTGAAGGAATAAAAATGCAACCGCATATTTTAGAAAAATTACAAGCATTTTTAGATAAACTAGAAAATAAAAACAATTGCAAAAATTTTTAA